AGAGCGGTTTGAGGTTGATATAAAGGAACTTCCTGAGCAGATCGATACATCCACCTACAGTAAGTAAAACAAAGTGTCGAGATATGGTTCTTTTTTTTCTGTTATCGATTGCATTCTAACGCAATGGTTTTGTTTTAAAACAGTGCCTTCATGAAATCCCTCGTCGTAGGAGCCGCCGGAGGATCAGCATCTGAGGGTTGTAGGTTTGGCACTATGCGTTTGCCTTTGTGCTTTTTCTTTTACCCATTTCGTAACCCTCTTGCAATGAATTTGTACTTTGTAGCATATATTACTTAAAATTCTCGGCTCTGCTTTGTTTTACTTGTAACCCTCTGTGACTTTGTCAGCCCATAAAATATTGGATGATTGGATTTAGGGTTTAGGAATGAATCTTGAGAAAGCGGGCTTCTTGTTTTGATTCTAATCGTTATCTCGTAAAAGTTTGTGTACCCGAGACTTTGGGGTATTTGAATGCGACTCTGGTCCTGAAGTCTAGGGGTAGTTATTGTGGATTTCAGTTCAGTTATCATAAGATTCGGTTATTTGGTTATAACCAGTTGGTTTTTATATCAATTTTGGTTTGGATTTGGATTTTTATCGGTAAAAACTCGATTTTTAAAGAAATTTTTGATATTTTCAGTGATTTTTTATTCGGTTTTGGTTTTTCAGATTGAGAATTCATAATCCTTCTAAATTGGATTTGGTTCGATTATAGTTATGTTTTATTTAGTTCAGTTTAGTTATAATTTGGTTAATAATCAAAACGGCCACAGAGGCGGTATCCTTGGTTGTATTTCGTATTACTCAATCTCATTCCAATAGTGTCTGATATTGGAATTCTAAGATACGTGAGATCCGATAGCTCGTGGCGGGGAGCCAAAGATTACGGCTCTCAGGAAAAGGAATAAAAATTTGTACAAAAGAAATGGATTCATCCTATTGCACTCATTTAATCTCAAATTTAAGATTTGTGTTGGAATGTCTCTCAACGTAACCAATGTTTGAATCTCCTTCCTGTCATTTCTTTGTTTATATCTCACTTTTGTTTTCCGTCCTTGGCACCCTTCTAATAAAATAGTGATTGAAAAATTTTACGTGAATACATCTCTTTCTTGTTTTCTCAGAAATTCAATTTTAATCAATGGCAAAATTTGATACACAGAAATTCTGTGACTGCATGCAGTTTTATTTTACGGAATGTTTGATCATTTAGTCGAAATTATTTCTTCAATACATATTTGCATACAATTGGCCACATCAAATAAAAAATGCGTCTGCCGGGAGTCGAACCCGGGTCTATTGCTTGGAAGGCAATTATCCTAACCGTTGGACTACAAACGCTGTTTGTTTTCTGGTACTTTAATTATTTAAATGAACATATTCTATTCATGTTTGGGGAAAAAAATTATATCAAAGAGGATATATTCTCTCACCAAAAAGCTATTTAGAAAAAATCAAGAGTCTAAATGTGCTTGTAACAACTGATTAAATGATTGCAGAGCTGATTGTAAATTACAAGTCAGCAATTGAAGTCCAACATGTACGAATTTGTTAGGTAACCACTTGGAACTTCTAGCATTTTACTTTTCATTCTTTGAAACAGTCCACATGAAAGTGAAATACCAACTATATAATGATATTATTTGATTAAAATTTTGTCATCTATTCTTTATTTTAAACATCAATTGATCAATTATTCTTGGGCATTGACAAATCCTCCATGTGGAAATGGACAAAGACTGCTTCTATCTTCTCTGATGTGGCAGCCTTTGATTGGGTTTTGGAACCTAAACACGACTACCCACCTAATCATTTGTCCGAGTCTTCTTAATCTTTATCATAATTCGTTGGAATCTATGCTGGACATTATAAAATAAATATATCTTAGCATTATTTTGCAATGAAAGTATTTGTATAATGGATGGTGTGGTTAGCTTAAATATGAATAATTGCACACAAAATTGTTGTATTCTAATCAGATATTATTACTCCCCATTCTCCAAAACGTGGGAGCCATGAAGAGGATCGATGACCATAAGAACGATGGCAACAAAATCATCTAGAGGAAAAATTGTAAAAAATCTTAATATGATGGTTTTCGATAACTTTATAAAAATCCACCAGAATTAGATACGGTTTTTACATAATTTATACAATTCGAAATTAATATACATATTAGATAAGAATTATACCTAAATCCATTTTGCAGCGGAATAACTTTGAAAAACAAAGTAAATCGTTGGTTGTTTGTTTTCTCTCATTTCCCCCTAACCTTGATAGATTTTTTGATTGATAAAAAAATGAACCAAATGTCCATTATTTATAGGATAAGGAGAAGAAAATAAACTTAAATACCCATAAACTTCAACACTATAATAAACTCATTTCCATCAAAGTAGTCAAGATCATATTGAAGTTTAAAACCCAAAATTTTATGGACTATTTTATTGTTTATATTTCCAACAAAAATGCCTCGGGAAAAATCATTTCAATAAAATAAAAAAAAATTATGATTTTAAGTTTGTATAGTTTTGTTTTACGCTCTATTTTAAAGTAGAAAAATTAAAGTTGAACTTTTGAAACCAAAATAGTATAAAGAAAGGTTCTTATGATACGACAAATTGGAAAATTTTTACGAATCATTATAAATTTGAACAATAAAAATTTATAAAAACTTGAGACGTAGTATTTCTGAATTTGGGTGTTAATTAAAAAAAAAAAGGTTTCATGTTTTGATACATCAGTCTTCCAACAATTCGTAATTTCGTAACTTTGAAATATATATTCATACACATGTATTAGAGGACGTGACAAAAGCATTGTATCACGAATGCGTAACGAACGCGCGTCACGCGCCGCGTGTCGGTTGGGAGAGAGTAAAGGCCACGCGTGTGAATCACATGTGAATGGTGGACGCGCGTTTGCAAACGCGGTTTCCCTCCTGGTTTCTCGCAACTCGAAGCTTTGACTTTTTGCTGACGTCACTTTTTCCCGGCACTATTTAGGGGAAAAAATAACTAAATTTATCAAGTAAAACAAAACTTTGTTTTTTTTTTTCCAAATAAAATCTAAAATAAATTTAAATTTTATAACCATTATCATTTTTAAACCCAAAAATTAGGATGATATATATACTGTGATAAACATTTCAATCATATCTAACACATCATTATCTACATGTATATTTATATTTTATATTTTTTTTATAAAAATAAAAAACAAAAAAATCACATATATATACATACATATATATAAACATAAATTTTTTGTTTATCTCGTAGAAATATATGTATCCATTCATTTCTCTTAATATGGACACGTTTTAATATCACGCGCTATCTGATGTGATAACTTTTGTCGTTATCTTTTTTTTTTCCTATTATTGTTTTATAAATTTATAGAATCGATGTCTCTGATTCGATAATTACATGGTAAATAGGGGGAAAAAAGTAGAGAGGAATAAGACAGATGCAGCAATTGCGTGCCCTCCCCGGAAGTATAATGATCTAATTATAGGATATTCCGAGGGTTATTATGGATTTAATCAAATGTTAATATTTTGATATCAGAAGTTTTTATAATATGGTTGTTTGCGTTATATATAGAAAATAAATGGAATAAGCACAGCTAGAGCAAGCTCTCCGGTCATTGACACAACGTAGAAGGCTTCTTCTTCTTCTGCTCTGTATCTTCACCACCGCCGTCCTCCGGCGCAGAACCGTCGTCTCCGGCGATAAATATCACGAGAACTCCGACAATGGGGAAAGGCGGCGCGCTCAGCGAGGGAGTGATAAAGAAGATCCTCCTCTCCTACAGCTATGTTGCCATATGGATCTTTCTCAGCTTCACCGTCATCGTCTACAACAAGTTCATCCTCGACAAGAAAATGTACAATTGGCCATTCCCGATCTCTCTCACCATGATCCACATGTCCTTCTGCTCAACCCTAGCTTTCCTCCTCATCAAGGTCTTCAAATTCGTTGAGCCCGTTTCCATGTCTCGCGAAACCTACCTCAGATCGGTCGTCCCCATCGGCGCGTTGTACTCACTCTCCCTATGGCTCTCCAACTCCGCCTATATTTACCTCTCCGTCTCCTTCATCCAGATGCTGAAAGCCCTAATGCCCGTCGCCGTCTACTCCATCGGCGTTCTCTTCAAGAAGGAGGGATTCAAAACGGACACCATGGTCAACTTGCTCTCGATCTCGTTCGGTGTCGCCATCGCCGCTTATGGGGAGGCCAGATTTGATGTCTGGGGCGTAATTCTTCAACTGGGTGCGGTCGCGTTCGAGGCGACTCGTTTGGTAATGATTCAGATCTTGCTTACCTCCAAAGGAATCACGTTGAACCCCATCACTTCTCTGTATTACGTTGCTCCTTGCTGCTTGGGTTTCCTGTTTATCCCGTGGATCTTCGTGGAATTCCCGGTGTTAAGGGACACATCTAGCTTCCATTTCGATTTCTTCATCTTCGGCACCAATTCGTTCTGTGCATTTGCTCTGAATCTCGCCGTGTTCCTGCTTGTGGGCAAAACCTCTGCTCTGACCATGAATGTTGCTGGTGTGGTTAAGGATTGGCTTCTGATTGCGTTCTCATGGTCAGTCATTAAGGACACTGTCACGCCCGTGAACCTTTTCGGGTACGGGATCGCGTTTTTGGGCGTTGCATACTACAATCACGCGAAATTGCAGGCCTTGAAGGCCAAAGAGGCACAGAAGAAGGTTCAACAAGCCGACGAGGAGAGCGGTCGGCTGTTGGGGGAGAGGGAAGGTGATGGAGCTGGTAGGAAAAACGAGTCACAGAATTGAGCAAAAGCATTGAATCGGGGAAAGAGAGAGTGTAGAAGGGTATCTGAATGAGAGCTTGAAGACACAATAAGAGGCGGAATACGATATTGACGAAGATCGTTAAGGATGGATGAAGATGGATACATTCGGGTTGCCTGCATTGTCTTCTTGTAGGTATCATCTGTTTCTTTTCCGTGTTACCTTACGGTCTACGGCAATTTCTTAGGAAATGAATATCTGTGGTAGTGAAACCTCGAATTCCTTTGCCCTTGTTTCAATCTCTATCTCCGTTTCTCAATCATCTTCTTATCAATATTTATGGTGTACGAAGCGAACTTTGTTTATCCTTACTGAAAGTGAAACCCTTTTAGACGTTTTCGTTTTGTGTATTTTTGATGCTAAATCTTCAGGTTTTATCAGCCAAATTCTCCTTACATTGCTCAATCACTCGGCTCCCTTCTTGTCTCGCCTCATGTAATGATTGTTTGCGTGTCTTCTACTTGATCTGTTATTCTCTCTCGTTTAAGCAAACCATTAGGCCGGAAATGATGCAGCGTTTGACAACACAAGCTCTGAAGCTTAAGAAGCAGAGCCCGGCAAGCTCTCTGGTGATCCTTTATTCTGGTAACATATATCTCTACAGTTTGGAGCTTTGATCATAAACACTTTAGTGTGTGTGTGTGTGTATATATATATATGTCTCCTCCATTGCATATATCAATGTGTGAAAGTCTTGCAACAATATGAAACAAAGGAGGATAGGTCAGTTTACTAAATTTCTGGCTTAGATTACTGGAAAGAGAAGGTTTGCCGGTGTAGACAACCTCGTAGCTGTTGAAGTCTCTTCTTGCAAACACTCCTATATCCTGCACAGTAGGAAGAATCAGTAAAATGATCCCTGTTGCATTTGATACTTTGGTGTCATATGATGAGAATAAGTAAAGGTTATGTATTCGGGTACCGATCTTTTACGGATGCCCACGAATACTTGAGTTGTGCATATTAACAAATCATATATATCCTTGTAAACTTTTAATATTTATTCTTGTCTTCGGATCCGGATCCGGATATTCTAAACTTTTTACGGAATCCAAATTGTTTTTCGGATTCCATCATCTGTAGTAACCTAAACCCTTGGGTACGAGTATGGATATCATTTTATGATATCCGAAACCTTTAGGTACGGGTGGGACACCTTGAATTTTTCGGGCATCTGAGCCTACACCACCCCTAGGAATGAGTGCATTGTGCAACTGTAAACTCGTCGCGAGTACACTGAGCTAAACAGCTCGGTCAACTTGTAACGAGTTGCAGAACGAGAAAAAAGGCCGAGGAGAGGACATTTACTGTTGGAATTCGATGTTGATCTTGGCGTCGGGGAATCTCGAGATTTCATCAAAGGCTTTGTTGGAGAGAAGGAATGTGGCGGGGCAGGGATCGCTCTTGCAAACGTCGACAACCTCAACGACGATGGACCGGCCTCTGCACGGATTTCTGCGGCCGTTGAGGCAACGAAGCCGATATCTCCTCCCGCAGGATGCTCCGTTGTCCCAAAGGCCGTCGCTTGCCGCCACGAAGTATCCTCTCGACTGAAACTCGCCCTGTTTGTATCCGTTGCATCTTGTGGCTGCACTCCGTAGAACAAGTATTAGCGATAAATGTTATATGAATATTTTTTGGAATATCTTTGTCATTTGTCGACAAAAAATGGAAAAAAAAAAGAGAGAGAGAGAGAGAGAGAAAGATGAGTGAAGCGCATACGTAGATAAGGAGGATCGTAGGAAGCGGCAGTTCCGAGATCTGCTACAACTCCGACAATGAGATAACATGACATCCAAGAAACGAGGAACAGAGTTAACGTAAACAGCTTCATGTCTGAAATGTTTTTTTTCCCAATGGTAAAAACAAACAATGTGGGGAGAAGAGAGGGGATTGATTTATACTGTGTTTTTAAGGATTAATAAAGAAGTTGTGAGGCGTGATTAGTGGTTGCTTGTTCTTGTTCACGTCAATGCGGTGTGAAATGGTTAAATTTGATTGCTTTTTGTTTTGTTTCTTTATTTCTTTATTTAGAAGCTTTCGTTGAGTTGTAACCAATGGTTTTGCATTGTATTCGGTGCTTAGATAAGATTGGATGGATTAGTGGTCTCTGATGTCGATTTGATATATACACACATATATATATATATAATGTATAGATACTAATGTATGTATGTGTCTGTATATATGTATTGTGTGTATGTATGTATCGTACGTCTATATATTTATGTGTATGCGTATGTATGTCTTTAATATATGTATACATATGTATTATGTATATATACAACTATCAATGTATGTATGTTTATATACATATATATGTATATATATCTATATGTATATGTATGCGATTGTTTATACATATATTAGGTTTGAAAAATTTTAAAACCGATGAAATTTTGGTTATTTTACCCAAACACTATCAGAACATGAAAATAAATAAAAAATAGTGATTAAGATTGCGGTTGCATGAACTCATCCTGGGTAGCTCAACTGGTGAAACGGGGTGCAAAGCATTTGTCCCGTCCCAAATTCGAGCCCCAGAGTGGGGAGGGGAGCGAATATTTCAAAGCACATGGCTTGCTCCCGGCCCGAAGATTAGTTTGGGCTTCGGCCCAGGACGCTCCGTTATAAAAAAAAGATTGCGGTTGCATGACAAACCGCCTACACGAGGTTGTTGTAGGTTCGATTTCTTCTGAGGTCTAAGCTTTTACTTCATCCGATCAGTTTCGGTTGATTTATCTATTCTGCGTGGTTTGTCGATTATTGCGCGGAACCGAGATTTACTGTCCAAAATGTCTTCCGACCCGAAGGGTTGTGCGCATGACTGTCTTAAGGCATGTGCTAATGGTTTTTCAGCACGGGCCCCACAATTTATGTGGGCCTCAAATTTTAATTTTTTTTTTATCAATTTATAGTTAGTATTTATTAATAAATATTTAATAAATGATTAAAATTTTACAAATCTCTAGTACCCTTAAAAATAGGTAGATGATATCTTTATAATATTTTTCATTAATAATTATAACTTTTTAATCATTTTTTACGTTATGATATTAATTTTTTAATCATTATAATTAATAATTATATTTTTTCTATAAATCTAAAATGAATCTTAATTTTACACTATCAATCTTTTTTAATCCAAAATTTGTTATATTTTTAAGAGAAATTCCCAAAAAAATCATCTAATTATGATTTAACTATCACATTCATTACGAACTTTTAAAATTTCCAAATTCATACTGGATTTGATTTTTTTTTCTAAAAAATCATTCGAAATTTAAAATTTAACAAAATCCGAATCGAAACAGAATTAATTTTGTCACGTAGGCAGAAAGCGCCTACATGGCGCCTACATGGCATGTACGTGTTCGCCACGTAGGATACACGTGACATTAATAATAAAAAATTAAAAAATTGGAAAAATGTAAAAAAATTATAAAAAATGTGAAAAAATTACAAAAAAATGTAAAATTTGTAAAAAATGTAAAATTTTAAAAACATTTTCAAAAAATGTAAAAAAATGTAAAAATTATAAAAAATGTAAAAAAAAATTGCAAAAAATTATAAAAATTGTAAAAAATGTAAAATTGCAAAACATTTTCAAAAAATGTAAAAAAATTGTAAAAATTGTAAAAAGTATAAAATTGTAAAGTTCATTATGAATTTGATAGTTATCTCGTATTTGGATGATTTGTTTTTGCAAATTTCCCTTTTTTTAAAAACTAATTTATAATTTATAATTTTTTACAATTTGTTTTACAATTTTTTACATTTTTTGAAAATGTTTTACATTTTTTTACAATTTTACAATTTTTTATAATTTTTTGCATTTCTTACAATTTTTTACAGTTTTTATAATTTTTACATTTTTTGAAAATGTTTTACAATTTTATATTTTTTACAATTTTTACATTTTTTTTGTAGTTTTTTCACATTTTTTATATTTTGTTTTACATTTTTTCCAATTTTATTTTAATTTTTTATTATTAATACCATGTGTATTCTACGTGGCGAACACGTACATGTCACGTAGGTACCAGGTAGGCGCTTTCTGCCTACGTGGCAAAATTAATTCTGTTTTAATGAGAATTTTGTTAAAATTTAAATTTCGAATGATTTTTTAGAAAAAAATTTCAAATCCAGTATGAATTTGGAAATTTTAAAAGTTCGTACATTCAAGTTATCTCATAATTGGATGATTTTTTTTGGGAATTTCCCTATTTTTAATCCAAAATTTAAAATTTAAATTTAATATATTAATAATAAAAATAAATATTTGTTGTACCGGATCCCGAAAATATATGAGACAGCTCTGACTGTGCGATGGGTTCTCCACCGTTAAAAAAAAGAAGATTGCGGTTGCAACCAATTAGTTTTATATTGGCACGTAATCGACAGCAGTTGCAAACACGGTGTTTGCGACTTTGCGGTCGATTATGTTACAACAACTCATGTGCGTAAATATACGTATGTATACATCTATTTCACGGATCGATGCGTAAATATATGTACATGTCATCGGATGTTTACGTCTAATATATTAAAAAAGTTTGGCTTGAGTTAATCCAAATCTAACGAATATCGTTTATATATATATATATATATATAAACTATTCCAATTTAGATTTGCAGATTTCAGTTTGGATCCTTAATTAAAACTTTCCGTTTTTGACTAACAAATCAATGGTTATAATAAAGCACGTTTATACGATGTCATATGGGTGGCGGCGGCGGTCAACGATTTTCAAATATGCGGATGTCAACCACTATAGGTAATAGGCTAGTTTAAATGGTTGGTTGTGATTAGAGGAGAGGATAACCACGTTTATTGCGCATTAAAACAAAACAATCGCGTGATTAAGTTCATCCAAAATGATTACAGGTCCAATGAATATAAATGCATGTGGACTACACTTTCTCATAAAAACTATAGGAATGTGGTTAGGACACATTCCACTTAGAATGTTCTCTTGGGTTAGTGGCTTGCAATAGATACAATACAAAATTTATTGCGCATTAAAACAAAACAATCGTGTAATAGTTATTGAATCCGAACCCGAACCCGTTTTGATCTATACCGAAAAATCTGGTATTCAAAATAATTGTTGAATATTTAGGGGTACCGAATTCAAAATCTAAAGATAAGATCTACCGAAAACCCAATATATATCATATATAAATTGTAATCAAGACATAAACTTTAATCAAGATAATATATGCACGGATACAAAAATCCTACAAAAGACAAAAATAAATGAAAAAAAAACATAAAAAATGTCATGGGTTTAGAGATAAGGTAATGTAATATAACTAAAATGGGGTAAAATCATGAATTAGATATTCTTCAGATACCCATAGATAAGATAATTATCTCTGGGTAATTTATCTCTATGACAATATAGAAAGATTAGTAACCCAACGAGGGGATAGGGGCATTTTATCTCATTCTGCCAATATCAATCAATTGATTTGCATTAATGAATGATTTTCCATCTCATATCCTACGGTAAAATAACTAACCAGGTTGGTAGGAGCATTTTTCACCAATAAAGATAAAGATCACATGGATTCACAATTGCCATTATCTCTAAAAACGACGCCGTATCAGTCACAAAAAAAAACCCGTGCTGTTTCCAGCTACCGGTATAGCAAACGATGCCGGTTTACTTAGAGCGACCAACTTTGAAACGCACCGTTTTGAGCCGAACCGGATCATCATAAAAGATGCCGTCGTCGTCTTCGTTGTCCGGTTTCAGCAGGTCCTCTCTCTCTCTCTCTCTCTAGATCATCGGTTCTTCAGTTCGATAATGGCGAATCCAGTGCCCTCGAAGGGATGGACTAAGAACATATCATCAATAGCTTCACGTGTTTACTTCCTCTTGATCTTATTCCAGATCCCTCTCTTCAGGTAAATTTCAAATTCAATTACACTCTCACCCTCCTATTTGCGCTCCCGGATTTCCTTAATCGAGACAGTTGCGTCCTTGAATCTGGAATTTTTTACGACCCACATTGTTTTTCTTACGTGTCTATATAACCAAAGTTCGAATTATTCGTTCCTTTTTTAGGGTAAACTCATCTAAATTTGATTCTGTTCGTGCTCTTAGCGTCTTCGGATTTCAGTTTTGGAGTTCTCGTCCGCGTTAAATAGTTTGCTTAGATTGTTTCGGCATGTATTAGCTTCTCGGTTCTTGCTAGATTTAGAACTGTTATCGATACTGCGATCCGCGATACTGTTTCTATAGATTGATCTAACTATAGAAAACGACTGTCGGTTTGATTTGATTTGAAAAGGATGCCAAGATTGGATTAGATAATACTATCACTTAATTGTACATGAACCTTCCTCCTGTGCTCAGAGATGTTTTAGATTGACCAGTATAGATCATATTCTGTGTAGTCTGCTTAAGGGTTGTTGGTTTTTCTTGTTAACCCAATTTGGACATTGTGTTTGTTTTTGTAATTAGGGTTCCATGTAGATCTGGTATGTGTACAACCCCGATCCATGTGACATCGTCTCAGTTGATATCCAGTGAGATATTTCCTGTTCCGGTGATCAAGGCTCTCCTATACCCCGGTGCTGTCGTGAATGGCCTTGCTTCAAACACGACGATTCCAAAATGGGAAAATGTCTTAGATATTTACAATCTCACCAATATCAAGGAAGCATCTGCTGTGACCGATCTCCAACGCCTAGAGGTCTGGATTTTTAGAATGGAAATCGCAAGTTTTTTCTTGTGCTATCTGACTTAATCTCTTTTCATAATGTAATACTTGTTGTTTCCAGGTTCTAGCGGGAAGTTACTTTTCAGTGGCCGGGGCATTTGTGGGTATTCTAAAGCCGGGGAGGATGAGCATGTTCGGGTCATTGCTACTGACTTGGGGTCTTGTCAAAGAAGGTATGTTGGGGAAGCCAGCGAATACAGACCCGACAAGATCTGTTTATGTATACCCAACTCTGGTGATAGCACTCGTATGCGCTTTCTCTTCGATTAAGTACGACTTGAAGAAAGCCACGAGGCCTGCTCCTGCTCGTCCCATCGCCAAACCTCTCATGAGTTCGTCCAAATCAAAGCTGAAATGAGTTCTGAACTTGAACTTGTGGTAGCTTTTTGCCTTTTGTTATGGAAAACGTGCCGGGGAAATGACATTGTCTTCCCCTTGTCATTTGCTAGTTTTGGTCTCCACTCAGTTGTTTTGTTATGCAGACTCTGCGCATTCTTTTTTACTGTTCTATTACCAAATCCTCTGCTTCTCCTCCGTCCAAAGTATGGAAGAATAAAAAAAGGTTCAATAATTGGTCTGATGCATTACTGACAGTTGACTATTGATTTTCTGACTTTGTCTGCCTTACAAAGTCTCCCCCATGTCTAGACGTGCTTTCGTTTTTCAGTTTTATAGGTCTTGGACAAACGCAAGCTCTGCATCAGTTATGCTCGATCCCTCCCTCAGGTGAGATGGATCAGCTGCAGGTAATTGTAGAGTCTCCTGGTGATGCCCTCGTAGATGCCATCAAAGAAAAGTTGGAATCTTTGTCTTCCCTTTCGAGCAAGTGTTGTATCTATAGAGTACCCGAGAGGTTGCGGAGGCTCAATCCAGAAGCATATTCACCTCGGGTTGTCTCCATCGGGCCGCTCCATCATGGTAAAGAAGAACTTCAAGCCATGGAAGAGCATAAACTAAGGTACATGCAAAGTTTTATATATAGAACGTCCCTAAGCATAGAGGAACTTGTGCAAGTTGTGAGGACATGGGAAGAAAAGGCTAGGGACTGTTATACGGAAACCTTAGAGCTTAGCAGCGATGATTTTGTGAAGATGTTAATTGTAGATGGTAGCTTTGTGGTTGAGTTCATATTGAGATGTCGATACCCTAACCTTACCGGTGAGAATGATCGGATTGTTAAGAGGCCATCAATGACTTCTGATGTGTTCCGTGATATGATCTTGCTTGAAAATCAGCTTCCGGGTTTTGTTGTGAAGGACACGTTCGGTTTGCTCTCTGATCACTACCTTGAACAAATTCAACCTTTCCCTGAGTCCATTCAACACCACTTTCGGGGTCTCTTGCCCAATATATGTACTTCAGAAGCAGACCATTTCGTTGATCTTCTGAGATGTAGTTGCCTACCTTCGATTCCACGAATTTCGGAACGCCATAAAATGAATCTGTACAGTGCACCATCTGCAACAGAGCTTAACGCTGCAGGTGTCAGGTTGGAGCTGGAAAAGAACAACATGAGTTCACTTGATATAAAGTTTGCAAATGGAGTTCTCACGATTCCCCCCATTATTGTCGATGATTTCACTGAAACCATGTACAGAAACATCATCGCGTTTGAACAATGTCACTGCTGGGACAAGCACTTCAGCGAGTATGCGGGTCTGCTCAGTTGCTTTATGCAATCATCAACAGATGTGGAACTACTTGTCCATCGTGGAATCCTCCGGAACAACATTGGAAACGGACAAAATGTTTCCAAGATGTTTGAAAACATTACCAAGGAGATCCTTATCGGCGGCACATATTACTACGAGACACTCTCCGATAATCTGCAAGCTTACTGTAGATCGCCTTGGAACAAGTGGAAGGCGACGCTAAGACGAGACTATTTCCGCAATCCATGGTCGATTGCTTCTGTTTTGGCTGCTATAACTCTCCTTCTCCTTACCCTCATACAGGTTGTATGCTCTATCTTGGCCTTATGAGGTTCACAGTTCATATGATGGGACTGAATATAAGGTATTCTCTAATGAATATGCATATTTATATCAGTTGTCGTCTGGCTTATTTTGTTGATATTTCCGGTTTATGAAAACTTGGTCAAATTGTTTGGCACATTTGTGTTTCCTCTGAGTTTGTATTTGAAAGGAACTTAAGCGCACCGATTGAGATGTTGCCGTTAACACCTTAAGATCACGAGTTTGAGTCTTGAAAACAGTCTATTGTAAATAAAGTGCGTTTTGTGCATCATACCTTGTTGCCCTTGTGAGTTTGTACTCGAACACGTTTTTGAATTCATTTAAGGAATGTATGGGAAAATTGCCCCAGCGAATATGTTTACGAAAATTTGAAATTATTAGAGTCTCTGTCGATCTTTTTATTTGATCTTTGGTTTCTCAATTTTGTGTTCATTCAAATTGGATACCAACATATATACTTCAATCCTCTATATCTACCGAGAAATTCACCGACGAATCTAATAGACCTCCTATTGTATACACTAATCAAAGGAAATCAGTGGTCAGTTAGGAGCGGCATTATCTTACGTTTTCTTTGTTTTTGTTCAATAGTCGATCTCCTTCGACTTATCAATTGTATCAATTGGTATCAGAACGGTCTGGAGATCCTCTCTTATGCGACCATGGGAGAAGAACAAAAGGTTTTTAGGATCCCACATCCACCAAATATGGGATGAGTTCATGATGTTAGACATATTTATGATGGTTGTAACTTTCACGTCATGGGAACAACATTCTTCATCTAGGGAATATCTTCTTCATATTTATGATATTTGTAAGGGGATATCGCCGTAAAAACCCTGTACTTTTCCCAGGTCAACGAAAAAACCATATACTTTTTTGCTTACCAATTAAACCCTATACTTGGTATGATTAACCAATAAAACCTCAAACTTGTTAATAATTCACCGAAAACCCCCCGCGACTGCCAACTCAAACAAAAATGATGATGTGGCAATGACTTGGCTTCCAAGTTATGTACACATCATCAAAATTATGACACATCATCATTTCAAACAAAAATAAATTACATAATTTATTTAAATTAATTTATATACATATAAATTCACATATATATATATATATATATATTACATATAAAATTACTTATAACTACTAAAACATACATATATATATATATATTATAAATTACATTAAAAATAATATATATATATACATATTATTTGTTAATATATATTGTATATATATTATTTTTTAATATATAGTGTATATATTAGTTATAATTACTTTTCTTTTAATATGCATATTAGTTGTATATATATATGTTACATGTATAACTAATACATATACATATACATATTATTTTTAATAGATATATTATATGTGTATATGTTAGTTATAATTATTTTTATTGTAATATGT